GAGTACAAAATTAATAGAATTTTCGATTTTTTGACGTTATACATCGATTATTTTACGCAATTATAAATCAATTTTGACATTCCTGTCGCAAAATGTTCTTTCCAATAATACCTTTAAATGGCATACCACAAAATATGGCTTTTGTCGATTGGCTTAAAAATATAGTTAAAGAACAAAATTTTTTAGCATTTTTCAATAAAATCGTTTATAAATAAAAATGATGCCGAATTATGAGTGGGCGCTTATTTAAAGATGTATTTCTACTACCCAATACTTTAAATAAATCATGTGAAATACTGTAAGGATGTCTTTTTACGACCCAAAAAGTCCGACATATTAATGATTTTTTACCACGAGCGATTTTGAGCGTGCTATATCAGATTCCGCATCAGCTGTGCCCAAGCAGCTACAGAGAAGCGGGCCCTGGAGGTCCAGACATCATTTTAAAAAATCAAGTATTTGTTTTAAAAAACTAGATAAGTGGTATTTTAGCATCCTGGATACTCATCTCATCAAAAAAGCCCAAAAAAAATATCAAAAATTTTCGTTAAGATTCAAGCCAACTAACCCTTCGAGTATCTCCGGCCACGTGGCTCATGCTAACCGCTATGCCATGAAAGCTCAAAAATGACCTTTAAACCAAAAATAAAATGTACAAAAAGTAATATTTTTGCAAGCTACCCCAATTTAAAAAAAAGTCTTTTACGACCCACGAAGTACGAGATATTGATCATTTTTCGACCACGAGCGATTTTGAGCGCACCATATCAGATTTCACATCAGCCATGCGCAAGCAGCTGCTGAGGAGGTGGTTCCTCGAGCCTCGGTCAGGACAGTTACCACGCTGGTACCTTCTACTTTTGCATTGTGTTTGCGATAGAAATCGGCAATTAATAATTATTAAATATTTTTATACTTAAATGTAAGCATTAAAGAGTAACACGTCCAAATTCCAACTGCCTTTGTTAATGAACAAAGCCATGAAAATAAAAAAAAACATTATCTCAGCTTCTGGGAATCGTACGGCATTTTTTTTTATTTAGAAAAAAAATTAAACCTTTCTGATGTTAAAAGTCTCTTGGAGGCTCTAAGAATATATACTTAAATTGTTGATAATACTTGATTTGCAATCAAGCGTTTTTTCAGCTCATTTTACCATTTTTCTGTTACGAATATGGAATTAATTCAACAAGAGATGATTAGTGCAACTCTTGACGAACAAAATAAGATCCTGTTGGAAACTGTATTCATCTGGCTAAAGAAATTGATTTTTAAAAAACCACTTTGTTGATAAACAATTGCAATTGTGTGAAAACAGTTAAAAGCGCAACATCTATGCTTGGAGGTGTCGTAGTGCTATACAAGAGCTTTAATTTCTTTGCATTTTCAGAAGTTTTAGATTTATTGTTTATTAGTCATCAAAAAATTTGAAAAAACGCTGTTTTAGCAGTTTTTTTGCATTTCGCAACTAAAGCAGTTATCTGATTGTTTACTATTGTGGCTTATTTGATTGATCTTTTGAACACTTAAATTTTTTTTCTAGGTATTCTTTAATAAACCCAACAGGAAAAATGCTACGAACAGAAAAGTACTTTTCCATGCCGTAATTTAGCTAAAAAATAGTCATAAAAAGGAATTTAGTTATCCAAAACAATTCATTATTAATACTTACTGTAAAAAGCTTTTAAAACAGGGGGCAATGTAACTTCCGCCCTTTTTTTTAAATAGGGGCAGCTGCTTTTTCTTTTCTGGGTCTAATTATTATGATTAAAAGTTTGGTGTGCCTTTATCACTCGTAGTACAAGCAATTTTGTATCAATAAATTAACAGGTTTACATTAAAGTAGAGGTAATGATCAATGCACTCTCAGTCCATTTATGTATTTTTATGACGTCAAACTAATTTTCTTAGGATTAAAAACACACGTTAAAAAAATTTTTTAACTTTATACAGAATTGGTAAGAACCTTTCCTGGGTGTGGATCGAATACTACCTCGTATTTTTGTGATGAGTTATCGTTATTACTGTTTATTTTGGGCAGTTTGTACACGGTTTGTTAAGAGCTCTTGAATGAACTAGTTTTTTTTAACAACGAGGGCGACAACGATGACGTTGAGACAAGATACACACTCTAAATTATTTAATTTTACTAGTTTTATTATTCTCACAATCAGTATTATTGACTTGTTACTATTTAAAATTGAATAGTGTAACGGGGAACGGTAAGGCAAATACAATACAATTTATTTTTCTTTCTCTGACTCGTACCCGGAAAGTAAGCTGGGAGTGAAAAAGGAAAATCAAGAAGTAGCTAGTCCAAGTTCATCGGGTCAACAGCTGTGGTTCTTTCCCTTAGACCTCTTTTCGACAAATTTTTCTGAGTTTACCAACAGCGAACTTAGTACTCTTAAAATCAACTTATGCTACCTCTTTGTTTACTCCATGCAAGCCAGGTGCGTTTCAGTCTCCTCCAGTAGAAAATCAGAGTTAACCTCTGCTTCAAGTACCCAGCGCCCATTCTAGAAAATGTAACTCCTTACTTGCAGTGTTATAAATACTTTTATAATAAAAGTAGTAAGTAGAATATTTTAATTTTCTTTTTTTAGTATAATTTTTTTACCCCTTAATCTTCTATCCTACCTTACAGCTCAGTCGTACACCACTGCTATAGATGGCAAAGGTAGCCACCTAGCACACATGTTTAATATGATATTACGCGAATGTAAACTCGAGAGTGTGTCCCGCTGGTTGGGACAGCAGTGGCACTTTATACTTTGTGTCGTTTTTTTTAAAAACTTTATGTCCTCTGTTATTTCTTGAGTGTGATCTGCTGCTTAGGACGGCATACCTCTAGGCGCACTACGGACTTGATCATTCTTTATTTGACTTACGTTAAAGCTGGAGTATGTACCCATGTTAGACGACAAGGGCTGAAATGAACCACGCAAAATACGAGGGGATACTTCGTTGCAAGCCCTTAGTAGATACCATACCCTACAACTCTACACGCGTCTTGTATAGTTACCAGGCTGTTTGGCGCAAGCCTATGCCTAAAAAGTACGTCACGCCCACATAAAATGTTCATGGATCTATAGTAGCTTTCCAAAACTGTACAAGTTCACTCTACCTTCAAAACCTCTAATTTTAACAGTAAATAGCCCCACACATACTTTTGCTTCTATTTTGTACCACAGTTTTTGCTCGTTGCAGAGGAAAAGCTTGTGAGTCTTGAATCTATGTGAGATGGATTAACGAAAGTTACCAATAGCATTCCCTGGGATATTGTAAGCGTTAAGTAGACATTACCTACTTGTATTTTATTTAACACTAGATGTATAATTTAGCCAAAGGATAAAAAAAAACAGTTTAGAAGTTTACTCTAATATTACTGAATATATTTTCACTAACTAATCTGTGATAAGCTGCTCAAAAGGCTTTAGTCCGGGAGCCAGGGTACTTTTCGTAGCCGATGGAGGTCCATGGCTGCACCAAAGTTTTTTTTATGTATTTCGATGCGCTGAATCCGATTTTCGAAGGTACTTGGCTGTAAAGTTGGCCGATTAATTGTTATAAACATTTTTTATAAACAAATAAGAAATTTTGATTTTTTGACATGAAACATTTAAACTTTAGGTTTAGGTGACATATTAACTTAAATTAACTGAATTCTTAGTCTCAGTTTATCATTTGCATTACATAAACTTGTTTTACTACTTACCCTTTTTTCTTTTTACAGTAGAATATCGGAAGAAAGTTTAAATGCAGCTCTTTATAAATAAACATAATGAACTCTCATGCGTGGTCTCCAGTACATACTTACCGCGGAAGCGCGCAATAGACCTAACGATGAGGCATTGCTAGATAAAAATCCAATTCAAATCATACATTGCTCATTCCATATTATTGTAGTACTGTATTATACGAAAGTTTCAAGCCGTGTTGGATTAAAAATTGTGCATTAATGAATGTGCAACGCATGGTCGAATTTCGTGAAAAACCCTGTTTTTCGAAACTTCGTGAATTTTTTACTCGTAAACGAAGGGTTTTACGAAAAAATGACAAGAATACTTTTTGTCTTAAAATTGGCCAAAGAATCTAAATTAAATTTTTTCATGTCAAAAAAATGAAAATTTCTTATTTGTTTATAAAAAATGTTTATAACAATTAATCGGCCAACTTTACAGCCAAGCACCTTCGAAAATCGGATTCAGCGCATCAAAATACATAAAAAAAACTTTGCAGCCATGGACCTCCATCGGCTACGAAAAGTGCCCTGGCTCCCGGACTATTTAGAACACAGGTCATACCAAATGAAATCACCAAATCATCAAATAATTTTTTTTTTTTTTTTTCAAATGAGTTTCATAAAATCAAGTCCATAAAAATTGATACATTTAAACTGGATATAATACACTTTCAGAATCATACTAACCCTTAAAACGATTCATCGACTTTATTTACATTTTTTATGTATAGTGTTATATAGTTATTCTTAATTCAACTTGGATTTAACTATTTTTGTGGATATGAATCTTATTTTTGTTATAATACTCACAATTGAAGTTAGCAATAATGAAAAAATTTTGATAAATTTTTTTCAATTGCGCTTAATTCAAGTAATGTTCATCTATAACAATAAGCAAAGTCGATAAACATATCATTTTGTTAAGGTGTACGCTGCGCATTTAACTTGCATATGCGTTGTTTTACATTATTTTTATACGTTTATCTTTTGTTTTAAAATAAATGTTAGAGGAGAAAAGGTTATTCATGAGTTCCTTATTTAAAATAAAAAAAATTTGGATGCTAAGAAATCTTCCGATTCCTTAACTCCTGTTGTATTTAGATCAACAAAAAATTCTTGTGTCTTGAAATGTATTTTTATCATAAATGAGGTGTTATGTTAAGGAAATATTTGAAATTGTTTGTTTAAAGTTTTTAAATCGTGTGAATTAAATACTGTATTGATAAATTACATTTTAATGTATCTAATTTTTTAGGTAGAAAAAATACCAGGAGGTTCCATTGAAGATAGCTGTGTTTTAAAAGGTATTATGTTAAATAAAGATGTAACACACCCAAAAATGAAACGTTTCATCGAAAATCCACGAATCGTTTTATTGGACTGTCCATTAGAGTATAAAAAAGGTGAATCTCAAACAAATGTAGAAATATTTAAAGATACTGACTTCACAAGAATGTTAGAACTTGAAGAAGAGCATGTAAAAAAAATTTGTGATGATATTATTTCTGTAAAACCTGACGTTGTTTTCACTGAAAAAGGAATATCAGATTTAGCACAACATTACTTATTGAAAGCTGGTATCTCAGCGGTCAGACGAGTAAGGAAAAGCGACAATAATAGAATTGCACGAGCTTGTGGTGCAACTATTGTAAATAGAACTGAGGAATTACGGGAATGCCACGTTGGATCTGGAGCTAAAATTTTCGAAATAAAGAAAGTTAATGATGAATTTTTTTGTTACATTAGAGAATGTATTAACCCAAAGGCTTGCACCATTATACTGCGAGGTGCAAGTAAGGATATTCTGAATGAAACTGAAAGAAACTTACAAGATGCTCTTCATGTGGCAAAAAATTTGATGATCAAACCTAAGCTTGTTCCAGGTAAAACATACATGATATTACTTAAATTTATTTATTGTGTTTGCGCATCGGTAGAGTTGCAGTTCCGTCGATCTCCGAGGTTACGCAGCATTTGGCGTACTTGGATGGGTTACGGTTAAGGTCTCGCCGTTTTGCCTGTGCTGTTGATCTTAAAGCATTGATTAACTGTTTCTCTTACGTTTTGTCAACGTGATCATAGGTGTGATTGAGTTGGTCCTAGTGTTTATACGTGTCTATGCGTATTAACATCTGGTCATAACTCAGGTTTGCACGGATGGCTAATTAACACTATTCTTGTGTAAAAGAATGCCATGTCTAAGCCCTAAGGGCGATAATGAATAAAAAAAAAATTCATACTTAATAAAATTAAGCTAAATATTTTGCAACTTACAAAATTAGTGTTTCATCACTGTATAGTCCCGTGTTACAATATTATAACTAAAATAAGCGTTTTAATTTATACTGCATCCTTAAAAATATCTTACGAAATCCAGACTTAGATAGTTCAGTTTAGTGCTCTACTATTTTTCCAACATATATGGATGCTATTCAAATGAACTAATCTTATATTATCCTCCAGGTATTTTTTTTTTTTTTTTTTTTTTTTCTTCATCCTTACCCCAAAGTTCATTTCATAATTGTATTCAAAGACAGAAATAGGGTGCACATACTTTTTATTTATAGTTTTAGTCAGTATTTCGCCTGGTCGCCGTTTTCAGGACCATGACACGATGACAGTAACGCGTCAAACACCCTGGCAGAGTGTAAAGGTAGAACGGTCTAATTTCACATAAATTTCTTAGCAATGAAGCATTTTTGTTCAGTTCTAACACTATGGAAAAGAAACAAAAACTAGAAGTCCAAAATATTGAATAATATTGCAATCTCATGTTGACGTGCTCTAATAGTTCTACTTAGTCAAACATATAGGTCTTTATAACCAAATCTAGCATTTATTTGCTTAAATTTAGTTGTGAAGTACTATCAAATGATGCTATGTTTTTTAAAAATTACGTTTTTTAACTTAAATTTTCAAGTAATTTCTTTCGTAATAGATTAACTTCACATCTTCCAGACATTTTAATTTTTTTATTTACTTATCAACACAATTTTAACATTTGAAACAGTTATTTGGCCGTGCCAAAAAAATTCTTCATAAGACCTTTTTGTTCTTTTTTAAAGAATCAAATTAACAATATTGTACATAACTTATTCTTATCAAAGGCACACTTCCCAGTTTTTCACATCATTTGTAAAAGTTTTGCGCTTGTGAAAGCAAGTACTTCAAAACCGATTTGTTTGTAAGCCGTGCTAATAGAATCGTGCGTACAAGATTTTTTAGATTCCAAGTTTTCTGATTTTTTGGAACACTTAGAAAAACTTGATGATATAAACCAATCGATATCCCAACATCATCAGTGACTTTTCTAATAGTGATTTGATGATCGTTTATAATCATTCCTTCCAATTTTTCAACGTTTTTATCAGTTGTTCACATGCTGGGGCGTCTGTAGCGTTCGTCATCTTTAACGTTTTCACAACTGTCTTGAAAACGCTCCTACTACTTATAAACTCTCATTTTACTCATAGCGGACTCACCATTTTGTCAACATTTTGCACCCTTTGTTACACTTTCTTTCATTTTTTACGCAAAACTTAGTACAAAATCTTAAAAAAGATTAAGGCTCCCCAATCCCGCGAAATTTCTAAATTACTATTATTTTGTGAATATTGGCTCGCACCTCTGAGAATCTACTTTCTATGTGCGGATTTCACCTGTGGTCCAAGGGTACGGAAGCCATGTAAAATATTGTCCCCTTCGCTGTGTAACTGATTGATGTCACAATTAAATTTTTTACTATACCAATGACGATAGCATACATATGCATAGTAACCAGTGATGCCAGATGGTGCTGCAAAGTTGCACATGCACAGAAGAGCTTCATGCTCATTTGCCAGCACAGCGGCGCGCCATCCAAAGTAGTCCCCACCTGAGCTCTCTCTCCAAACATCCCCACTTCAGCTTCCCCCCTATGGTTAACTTAAACTTCCTATAACAACTTATATACTACCTCTGTGCATCATAGGGAAAAGCTATTGATATCTAAGTGGGCAAGCGCTCCTAACGATTTTGCTGATTTTTCCTTCGAATCTCAGCTGCGTACTTTTTTTTAAATTTTTCTTACCATGGGCCCAAAGTGCAACTGCCGCTTTGCACCCTCGGGTCATACTTTGGGTCCTTGTAATCATTTTAGGCCCACGGGCAGAAAAGTTTCTTGCGCTCTCCGGACCCAAAGTACTTTTCTGCCCCAGGGCCCAAAGTAATTTACTGGGCGCAAAATTACACTTTGCGCCCTTAGTAAAAAAACATTATACGCGACTCATACACCAACCCTTCGGGCGCTCATTTTGTACTTTGTGACGTAATGTACCATTTTTTTTAATTTTTTTTTTTTTCTTTTGTACACGTATAATTTAGTGACATACAAGCTAAATACATACATGTAACAATTTAATAAAAGATCACCACTGTTTTATGCATTAAGATGAGTATTAATGAGGTAAAATTAATATCTTTCATTAATTATATTGACTCAAATTTTCTACTCCGTATTTATTTAAAATAAAAAAAATTTGGATGCTAAGAAATCTTCCGATTCCTTAACTCCTGTTGTATTTAGATCAACAAAAAATTCTTGTGTCTTGAAATGTATTTTTATCATAAATGAGGTGTTATGTTAAGGAAATATTTGAAATTGTTTGTTTAAAGTTTTTAAATCGTGTGAATTAAATACTGTATTGATAAATTACATTTTAATGTATCTAATTTTTTAGGTAGAAAAAATACCAGGAGGTTCCATTGAAGATAGCTGTGTTTTAAAAGGTATTATGTTAAATAAAGATGTAACACACCCAAAAATGAAACGTTTCATCGAAAATCCACGAATCGTTTTATTGGACTGTCCATTAGAGTATAAAAAAGGTGAATCTCAAACAAATGTAGAAATATTTAAAGATACTGACTTCACAAGAATGTTAGAACTTGAAGAAGAGCATGTAAAAAAAATTTGTGATGATATTATTTCTGTAAAACCTGACGTTGTTTTCACTGAAAAAGGAATATCAGATTTAGCACAACATTACTTATTGAAAGCTGGTATCTCAGCGGTCAGACGAGTAAGGAAAAGCGACAATAATAGAATTGCACGAGCTTGTGGTGCAACTATTGTAAATAGAACTGAGGAATTACGGGAATGCCACGTTGGATCTGGAGCTAAAATTTTCGAAATAAAGAAAGTTAATGATGAATTTTTTTGTTACATTAGAGAATGTATTAACCCAAAGGCTTGCACCATTATACTGCGAGGTGCAAGTAAGGATATTCTGAATGAAACTGAAAGAAACTTACAAGATGCTCTTCATGTGGCAAAAAATTTGATGATCAAACCTAAGCTTGTTCCAGGTAAAACATACATGATATTACTTAAATTTATTTATTGTGTTTGCGCATCGGTAGAGTTGCAGTTCCGTCGATCTCCGAGGTTACGCAGCATTTGGCGTACTTGGATGGGTTACGGTTAAGGTCTCGCCGTTTTGCCTGTGCTGTTGATCTTAAAGCATTGATTAACTGTTTCTCTTACGTTTTGTCAACGTGATCATAGGTGTGATTGAGTTGGTCCTAGTGTTTATACGTGTCTATGCGTATTAACATCTGGTCATAACTCAGGTTTGCACGGATGGCTAATTAACACTATTCTTGTGTAAAAGAATGCCATGTCTAAGCCCTAAGGGCGATAATGAATAAAAAAAAAATTCATACTTAATAAAATTAAGCTAAATATTTTGCAACTTACAAAATTAGTGTTTCATCACTGTATAGTCCCGTGTTACAATATTATAACTAAAATAAGCGTTTTAATTTATACTGCATCCTTAAAAATATCTTACGAAATCCAGACTTAGATAGTTCAGTTTAGTGCTCTACTATTTTTCCAACATATATGGATGCTATTCAAATGAACTAATCTTATATTATCCTCCAGGTATTTTTTTTTTTTTNACAGATGTATATATATATATTAAAAATAAGAGAACATAAAATTATAAATAGCGGCTGTGCTGTGACAAGACATTGCTGAAAGATCGGGAAAAACTTGTTCGTGTAAGTCATAAACTCAGTATTTCATTTTTCAACGAAAAAAAATTTTATCAATGTCTTGGACAGGCACAGAATCAGCATTGCTTTTAAAAGATAAAACAAGTCATAAGGCTTTTAGGCTTTCGTTAGACATGTAAAGATTGTGTCATTAAAATTTGAAGTAAAAAAAAAAATAAAAATACATGTTGATTTAATTATTTTAGTTTGAACTTACAATGAAGGTCTTAGAAATAGTTGGCTTAACTTGAAAAGATCAACGTAATACAAATACATCTCTTGGTCATAAATTTTAGAAGATTTTCGTTGAATTCTTTCAGTCAAAAAAAAAAACTGTAACTGGAGCACAATTATAATAAAAATTATCAAGTCATCAAACACATTAATTTATTCCCAAAATTTAAAAAAAACAAATTCAAATCTGTTTCCATAGTAAAGAATTTTCAAAATTATCATTGAATATTAGGGAAGGGAAAAATAAAAAAAAATGGATATTTAATAACGTCAGTTTGTTATTCATTTTTAGATGATTTAAGCAATTGTTCAGTCAGTACTATACTTCTTTGACGTAATGAATTTTTTTTAAACAATAAGATTTTAAGTGAATTAAATAGAAAATTTAAAACCTATCGCATCATAGATAACGCAACGAATGAACGTGTTGAATCGAAATGTGATCTTTAAATTTGAAACAATATTCGTGAAGGCTGGCCCCCTCATTTACTTAAATTAATGAAAAAAAAATAGTAATCTCCATCCCAAATTTTAGTATACCTGACGGTTTATGTAATGGCAAGCGAATAAGAATCACTTAGTTGTTTAAGGACTTAAAATCACAGAAGTT